GTGGTGGTGGTGGTGTGGCTTTAGTATGAGTGCGGCCTGCTGTGGCTGGCTCTGCCCGCGGGGTGGGGTGGGGTGAGGACCGACATAGAAGCGAAAGAGAGAGAGAGAGAGAGAGAGAGAGAGAGAACGTCAAGTTGTGCAACGCAGCAAGTGCGAGGGAGAGACCGCGACAAGGATGATGGGCAGTAATACCGCGGGTGGTGGGCGGAGGGCAGCGGAGGGCTGTATATCAGGTAGTATTGACAAACGCGGGGCGGCCGCACAAAACGGAACGACGAGTGGCGCGGGATGGGGTCCGCGCGGGGCTCGGCGCGGGGCTCGGCGCGGGGCTCGGCGCGGGGCTCGGCGCGGGGCCGGCCGACCAGAACGACATTACTGCGCCCCAGCGCCCCCTCCCACAGTGGGGCGCCCCCTTCCCCCTTGCACAAATACAACGAGGAAGGGAAGGTCCATAATCGATGGCTCTTTCTGGTTTGTTTTGATGAGGGCAAAAGGGGGGAGGGGGAGGGGAGCAGCTAGGTGGGTGACTTTACATGTTTGTTTGAGTGGTTGGTTGCCCTCCCTCCCTGTTAGCAGGGCGTGGTGGAAGGGAAGGAGGTCGCGGCAACAACAAACTGGGGGACCGCGAAGGGACTCTGGAAGGGGCAAAGAAAGGGGGGCGCTTCCTCGCCGCCCGGAGGCTCACGGCTCACGCCCCCGCCGCGCCTCGCCCTATCGCCACAGCCGCCGCGGCCGCCGCCCACGGAAACGCCATCGCCATGGAAACGCTACACAAACCCACGCCTCGCACGGCGAACGGGGGGCTGCCAGCGAGGGGCACTTGGACTGGACAGGGGGGTGGGGGATCAGCCAGCCCCCCTATAGGGGTCGGCGAGGGGGCGGAGGAGGGTCGTGACGAGTAGGGCACAAAGAGGGCCCGGGCTAGGCCACCCCGGTGCTCCGCCCCCATGTACTACTTGTGGAAGTTCACATGCCCACGCCTCGCACGGCAAGCTCGCACCCTGTTTTCGTGCGGCCTTGACCCAGTAGATTACGTTATCACTTTCAATATTATTGCTATCATCGAATTTGTATAGCAGATGGTACGCAGTATCAGCAGCAGCCAGTATTGTAGTAAGCTTAAAAGTTCGCCAGTTCCTGCAGAACGATATACAGTTCACCAGTTCAAGTGTATAACCATTTCACATTTGATAGGAATGTCTTTTTGTGGTAGGTCACCACCATTGTTGCACGGTACGCAACGGGGCTGCCGCCCCTGCCCTGCTGAAAGTGCTGACTTAGATGGGTAGGCCGCGTACCCGGCTGAG